AATATTCCAACTCATTATCAGAACGCAGTATGCTAGACATTGTTATTTGTAAGGGAACGTGACCAAAATCTGAAGAGATTCGAAAATTTAGTTGCCTTATTTTCTCATTCCGTCTACGTGTTAGATTAATTTGGGAAGATATGCTGCTGACATGCTACGCCATACGTCGACGAATTACAGAAACATCATACAGCAACAAAATTCTAGTGCTTCTGTAACCCCTCTCCATATCTGCTCGCGCACAGTCGCAGTTTTTTCAGCTATCAGGTGGCATTGGCCGTTACGCAGTGCTATTTAGTGTGTCAGAGAATTGCTGCATACGACATGAGCGGGGCGTAAGCAGATTGCACATGGAGCGTATTCATGCCCTCTTGTAAATGTCTTTAATGCTGCCTATCACAACTGACATCAAACACCTCTGTAGCTCTGTTTTTGTAGCGACAACTGCGATTCGGCTTCAGGCATCCCAAATCATACTGGAGGTGCCTAATCACGGTCAAACGTCCACTCAATAATGCAAAACAGAAGGCGAGCAATGTTTTACGCTGGAATTTCCCGGGAAATAGTGCACGCTTTCTATCCCGTGTAAGTATATATTTGGCTTCCTTACACACTGGAGCGACAGTAATTTTATTCAAACATTTAGCGGAATACTCATCATTGGCTGTCGTCAGAGTGGCAGTAGGCAGTGTTGATCAGGCAGCGAGGCAGTCCTTAATAACCATGATCTGCTCGTAGCACACCATTGCAGACGGAACAAATATTGTCTGATGGCTGCAAATATATCACCATGTGGATTTTTAGATTTCCTTCTTTTACTAGGCTTGCCCTGCAGTCTGAAACCTGGGACCCTACCCAACCTGCAACCAGATATATTTCATACAAAACCCAAACCTTTGCATTGCTTTGCATTGATTTAACCATTTGAACGCGCAGTAACGTGTAAACCATTTGCTTTCAGCGAGATAAATATAATCTAAACCGACCCGACTGTTGCAGACGCAAGGCACAAGATACTTTCGGAATAATGAACAAAACCAGATTGTTACGAAACGTCATTGTTTGTTATGCATTTGTTTTTTGGGAAATCAGATGGATTGCCTAAACTTTTTCGACAGGGATGATGACGATTAACTTTGAAAATTAGCAGTCTATACCTTCCAGTGGAAAAAACAGTATTTGAAAATCTAAATCACATAGCTAACAAAATATCCGAATTTTTCTTCTTCACTTTAACTGCTTTGAAAAATATTGATATTTATTATATTTTTGTTCTTGTGTGGGAGCTCTTCACGAATGTCTGCACTGACAGTTCCTTTTCACCCCCCTAAGTAGTTTTAAAACGCATTTCATACACAATATCTAATAAACAAAATCATATATATTCGGTTTGCTTTCATAGCTTCCTAACGACAAGTAGCGCAGTTTCGCAAGGAAGATACACAAGTCGCAACTTCTATCTTTGTGGATATTGAAAATGCATTGCGCTGGGACCGTTGAACATAATAAATGTATCAGTTCTTGCACGGAAATATTTTATATAAGGCTAGACACTGGAGGATTGCCTGACATATGTCTATAATCTAGTTAGATGTGATATCCACCAAACGTTTCACCAGAAACGTAAAAGCTGTGACAAAGGCATCCAAACTCAGATTTGTTACTTATTATTTAATGTCAGTCCTTGATTATAGTCAACAGATCACTTCAAAGAATAGCCACAGAAACGTAAGCTCAAGTTTTGTTGTACTCAACATCACCTGTTAGTTGAAAGCGTAATACAAGTCTATCGCAAAATTCTCACATTGATTTGCACAAATTTTACTGCTGTCGAAAAGACGCAAAATGGCATTATCCATGTGATACTAGTGGTCTACCATCTGCAAATAAGTGATACTTGATATGTACGCACTCTTATTTGTTGTGCATTCCCCGCCTGCATAGTGAACATAGAATGGTATGGTGGTTTCCGCTCCTACGAGTGACTCAATTATTTAACTAAATGCACATGAGTTACTGGTGACGCTTTCACATCTTAGGTTGTTATCACCCACGTTTTTGCAATCCCTTTAGGAGACAGCCCTTTAAGAAATTGCAAGTACAAGCACCTTGATACAAGTATACCAAACCATATATAACTCTGTCACTTCCCGTTTGTGTCTCAGATATATTTTCCTAGTTCCATCACAAACTTATTAGAATTCTCCATAAAACATTGGCATATGACCGCTATCAAGATTTTGTCAGTAAGAACGCTTCGAAGTCCAGAATCGTATGGGCAAAACAATGCACTTTGGTGGATAAATGACCACTGTATCTAGCGTGAATTTCAAGCGGCGAGCTACGTTGCACTTGTTCGTTACCATCATCACGTGAACAAAATCATTTGCGCAAACAGGATCACCGAAGGCCAAAGTGTCGACCAATTGGCCTGTCGCAGTCAACGGTGCGTTAGACTGGACGGGTAATTCCAATATCAGTTGTACACCTACTCACGATTAGTACTGAATGCACACATATCAAACAACATTGACCCATTAACAGAATCGCGTTCTGATCTATCGTTGTGCAACACAGGACTTGAATATCTTTCAGTGGTGCTCGCTCCACGCGCGAGTAGATTTCATTAGTCAATGTTGTTCTAATTCAATGGCTGGACAGAGCTGAGAGCCTCCAACAGTTTGTAGAGGGATATGCAGCAACTCTTGAAAGTTGGCGAAGAAAACAAAACGTTTGCTTTTTTCTATTTGAACAGAAGCACAATTTACATGATGGTCGTATACGAAACCAGTACTGTTGAAAGAGAGATTGATCGGGTAATGGTTCATAATTGAAGAAGAATACCGTACAATTTTATAATACAAAGTGATACACTAGTTGTTTGAAATCTGTTGCTAAACACGAGTTCTCACATTACCAGAAAAACACCAGAAACTGAGGCTCACATGGTGGAGTGTGAATATCATGGCACATTTCTAAAAGAAGCCCACAAAATAACAGGCAAAATCAGCCTCGCTGCAACAGGAACCGACAGGGTGTTAATAGCCTGTACGAATACAGTTTTTAATGGTCACGCATTCAGAGCTGAAATCTCCCCTTTTGAAGGGTTGCGAAAACGAGCTATTTACGACGGCACATGTCTTGCCTTGATTGAAATGAGAAACTGTTATGTTTCAGGAGTACTGTCCAGCAGAAAGCACACCAAATCATCCACCCAAAATGTTCTTTAAACAGGCAATCAACTTTACCGTATTTGCCTAATAACCCTACGGCTATAGTCAGCTTTATCCAATGACTTTCATAGTACAGCCAGGCGAACATGCTTGTTTCATTGCGGCAATTGCAGCAACCATAATTATGACCACCGATGGGTGCGTCCATGACAAAAATGCCGAAGAAGGTCCTCCGTGGTTGGTTCATTGCACTGCTTCGATGCGACAGTTGTATGTGAATTGTCATTGAAAAAATGTTTATAAGAAATCTTCAAAAACACATCAGTATGCACAACACTGAAGTCAGATGTTGTAGGCATTTGTTTGGTCAAATATCCGTTAACCCCTAAGCTACCCACAGCTATTGTTTATCACGTGCGTGTGGAAGCTGTCGGAGGCATCCACAAAAAGTATTTCAGACACTTGGTTCCATAGAATATATGCATTATGATGCACTTATACACATAAAGTAGGAATTTAATGTGCACACAGAAATGGAATTTGAAAAGACCGCTTGAAGCTCGCAGTTTGCTAAATGCGACCGTTTCAAGCAGCTGATATCGCGCGATTTTTTGCGTTTTACCTAGCATTCCTTGTTATACCGAGAAAGTGAATTGATACAAAATGAACAAAAGCAGATAGTCCAAACCATCAGTAACGCTGACTACAGAAACCTACTTAGGCAATCTGCTTCGTCACCACAGCGAACTGCATTAAAAAACAATGGTTTTATAATAAACACAAGGAAGTGGTTATATATTACCTCAACCGATTGTGATTGCTCAAATACGAAAAGATCTTTAGGTTAATGTATTTTTAGAAATTATTCACCGAACATTATTGAAGAAACTCACCAATGCACCGAGTAAGAGCCTGTTTCCAGCATTTGCCTGCGGATTGTGTCGTAAAATTGCATGAGAGTACGTGAGGTGTAATGAGTTCGACTACGCCGTAAGTCGGGTTATTTAAATGGATTTTGACTGGATATTTAGATGAGCGTTCTGGCGCTACCACCTGAAACTGATTTTAAAGTACTTTTGAAGGTTAAATGTTCCACGGTAACTCCTTTGGTTGCGTCTGAGCAACTGACCCCAGAATATGCTACGGGGGCCAAGCTCAAAAATCAAATAACTTTGCTAAACAATCAAAATTACTACCTTTTATACCAAAATAAACTATCTTAAGTGTGAGTCATACCAGACCTCTGTGGCAACTGTTTTGTTGCTTGTTCCACATGGACATCATTAAAAAATGCGACATTACTTGGGACAACCTACGTTTTTCTTCTTCGTTTTGACTATGTTTTTCTGAAAAATGTTGCAAAATATTAAAGCTAGACTGCACTCTTCTACGCGTTTAGACAATTTGGTCACAAAAGTGATTTCAGATAAATAAAGTCAGGAAAAAGCACCACATTGAGATCAAAGCCACTGCTAGCAAGTGTTTTTGTTGTCCTCTAATTTTATTTAAAATTTCAACGGGCTCCTCAAAAGTATGGCACGCAAAGTGATCGGCTAGTGCACATGAACGGTGCGTATCATAACGCTATTGACCAACATTACGAAACGACCCTATATTTATTACTCTGACTGGCTAAATGTAATTAATTCAAATTCGTGGATAACCACTCCATAGCGGACGTTTAATGGTCAGTCAACTCTCCAAAACTGCGCCATGTTGGATCAAAACTGGTGCTCAAATCTCCGATTCATCTCACCATCCAACGCAATATTCCGAGCTTAAATGACCTCTTTCACAAGGCACGCTAGGTCAAATAAGTTGACATACCCAGGCAACGCGTTCTTTCTTCTTTATCACACTGGTCTGAAGAAGGAAACAGTACATGGATTGATGTATCGCGGATTTAATCCGTTCAATTTTTGCACTTATGAATCCGTGGTAAAGCTGTTTTAACTGGCAGTACCTGAGCTTAATTTGATCCTTTCCTGTCTAGTCAAAAACGATGCTGATTCATTTTCATTACTTAAATAATCATTATAAGCTGTTCGTCTCTAACAAACTGAATCATAACCGACTTGCAACAAAAAAATATGTAGGGTGGTCGTTGATCAACCGGAATGATAGAAGCACCAATACTGATGATTCAAGCTTACCACGACACATATCCACTATAGTGACTACGAACTCTGAAAAACAAATATTTGGCTGATCATACGTTCAAGAGCCTGGTAGTTACGGACTCACCCATTGAAAAATAGAAAACGTGGTTCTCCCTAGATAATTGCATTCGCACATTCGTAGACCATTTCATGGTCTTTCCGAAACTCACAATCGAAATCTCCATTTCTTTAATGTAACAAACTGATCATAACCGACTTGCAACAAAAAAATATGTAGGGTGGTCGTTGATCAACCGGAATGATAGAAGCACCAATACTGATGATTCAAGCTTACCACGACACATATCCACTATAGTGACTACGAACTCTGAAAAACAAATATTTGGCTGATCATACGTTCAAGAGCCTGGTAGTTACGGACTCACCCATTGAAAAATAGAAAACGTGGTTCTCCCTAGATAATTGCATTCGCACATTCGTAGACCATTTCATGGTCTTTCCGAAACTCACAATCGAAATCTCCATTTCTTTAATGTGCCGTTCGTTGATCCACAGTAATGCGGGACAAGGATATCTAACAATCTCCAGTTAAATGCTACGTGATTTGACAATGCGGTATGGAGAATCAGGTTTTTCAAGTTCCTGCATCAGTTTGTAATTGCTAGCTTTGTCAGCGAAGGATTCATCAGCTTTATCCATTGCATCTGATGTTTGCGAGATTTCTGCGGACATGTTGATCCCCATAATTGAAGCTACCAGAGGTTTCACAAAGGATGTGGGTTTTTAAATACAATGGAGTTTGGGTCGCTCTTTAAAAATCCGTTGGTATTCTAGGACCAGGTTTTTTTCCAAAGCAAACGCATGGTTTTGGCGATAGACTGAACCAGCATATTCGGCAGATAATATGGTGGTTTGTGGTACAGCTTATTGAAGACTTACTGTTGTCTTCGTGCGGATCTTCTCCACAAGCCTCTGTTGACGTTAATCCAATTGGCACAAAATCAGTACCAACCAATGTGGAAAACCGAACATATTCAAAATACGATGGTAAGATGAACGGGAACATTTATAGAATTATTTTGCGTCCTGTATAAACAAACAACATCAAAACCAAGAGCGATGTCAGAAGGTACGCAGGTGATGCATTCAGAAGGAGGCGTAGTGGAGTTATAATTATTGGTGACTGAGTAAGTGCGAAAGATGACTGCTTGGCTTACAGCTCTCTTGAGAAATCCTAAGGCTCGACGCTTTCGATGACAACTTCAATTTCTGTCATTTCCTTTACGGGCAAACCAGTGCACTTACTTTAAATGTTTTTAGCCAACACTATAGTTTAGGCTAAAGATTTTCAGATGGCTATATGTTGCTTGACCAAAAGCTGAACTAAGCAGCTACCCTGTGGCAAGTGTTCAATTCAGTACTGAAAATGCAACTAAATTTGCATTTTCAAGTTCCGCGGCTGACGAAACTTTGCTTAACCAAACTTATCCAAGTAAATTTTTACCTCCTGGGAGCTAACAAAGCGCCGACCATATCGACTCAATCTGTAAGACAAGGGTGCGCTCACGAGATCAACTCTCCGAAGAAAGTGCCATTCTGGCCGACGCTTGATGAATTTGTATGTGATATTTCTAATGAATAGACAGCAACTGCATCGAGAAGTTAAATGTTTCACGTCCAAACCAAATTTCTACCTAAATAAACTTTAATGACATGCTGACTTTGGGCATGGAATAGATGGAAATGGTGAATCACAATCGGCTTTGATGTCGATAACTTTGTAGAACATCTTAAACCACACATGATTAGCAATCGGATTTCACCAAATTAGCAAATGTTGTTTCTCACCCATACACAACTCGTATTTCGGGATACTCCTTGTCAGCACGCTTTCAACTAAAATTCAATTAAAAACGAGTGAATACGATGTAATGTGTACTCCAGCAATGTTGGTATTTACATCGGAATTAACTCACTTAGGCCGACGGCGAGAAGCATAAGCTGTATTGTCATGATTTCCTCTAATCCGAGTTACAAAAATTTTCACCGTTTCAGCTTGACTGCTCGTCTCCCTTAATCTGTTTTATACTCCTCTGCATGACCTTGAAATCTATGATCAATGATGCGAGTTTTAATAAATCGTCCTACATCGGTCCGAAACTTCATTCCTTAAAACACTGTATGTTATAGCGTGCACTCTGTATTTGGTTCTCCTTGCTTCATGAAAGCAGGATTGTTGGAACACCTCGTCTTCATCTATTTGTACCTACTAATTTGGTTCCATTATCGTGGCTAGATCAGAGTGACCGAGCATTATTTAACAAATCCTCTCCAACTGCATTCTTCGAACAATGTAAGTAGATTTTTACAATCACTTTGTTACGGCGGAACTGCGCCAAGACTACCTACGTGCCAATTTGATCTGCTGAGTATACAGAGTTTCAAAACATTGCAAAATGCAGTGTTATCTAAAGTCAGTCGCATACGCTGAAGCTTCGCTGGGATTGAGAATGCTGTGACAAGAACATTAATGAAATCAATTGATTTTCGCGACATCTGCTAACTAAAAGTCGGATTGCTCGTCTTATGCAAAACAAGATAAATATACATTCATTAAATGGGAAGATTTAAATTAAATTTTCTTGTTGTCTCAGCAGTTTTCTGTAGTACTTCTTTAGCTGACACACTGCAATAAGGGATTTATGCGATGGTATTGAATTCACTTGAGTAGTGGCATCTTGAATCTTAAGCTGTTATATGAACGGGTAAAATTTGCTCGTGAATCCAACCGCAACCGGACGTTCATCAGCAAATGTTGTAACAAAGCAGTTCGTAGAAGATCCCCATCACTACGTTAGCGAAAGTGCATAATTTGGTCACTGATATCCATGAAGTTCCTAAATAGTAGAAGATGGGGCATGAAGTAAGTCGCTCAAGTAGGCATGATCAGCAAAGCTTTTGCAGCTAATGACGTTATAGAGACAAATCGTTTATACCTTATGCAGGCGAATGCGTTTTGGTGTGTCGATCGTGGAGTTGCTAGAATTGACGCCACCAGGGTGCCATTGGGCTACGGCACTCTATCTTAATTCTTTGGTGACAGCATACCGTCAGTGTTCAAGAACGATGATTCTCCACCCTGCGGCCATTTTACACTTTGGAAAGATTGCTTTTCGAATGAAGTGCGGGGTAACTAACCCTTTTACATAAATGGGAAACATCCAGCCGTTTTGTTGTGTAGCAATGAAAACTTAGCTCGAAAGACATGGCTGAAACCAAGCTGCAGAAAAAACTAAGACTTCATATCATCTGCCTGCTTTCAAGGAGGTTTTGATTTATGTGTAAAATCGTTGGGCAGCTTAACTGGGCATGTGTATCACACGTGCCTAGCAATGAAAGAAAACCGATTTGCAGTTTGTGTGGCTGGGAACACCCAGATACAGTGCACACCACGCTAAAAAATTTGTCAACTTAATTAAGACACAGCGAACGGCAATGATATGGGTGACAGTTACTTCTATAAATTAACAAGTAGTAACCTTTCCACAGTTTGGAGTCAGGTGCGTGATAAGTACAGTGAATTTTTGGGTAGCTTACTTCAAGGTCCTATGCTAATCTTATCCAATCCTCTGCTATAATTATGCTCCGCACATGGTTATCGTGAAATGGGTAACAAAGTGTACCACTCGGGAGCGGTTTTAAAGATCGCCATGTGATTTTGGATGGCATAGGTAAAATTCTACCCAAGTTTCAAGGTAAGCGTGAATTTGTGCTCAAACCATACGGTTCGCATAATTTATTCACCTACTAAGCGGAATCTATACGCACGTCAACACAAGCACTAAAGCGTCCCCAATCCGCGTTTGAATAATTGCATGGAGGCAACACTACACTGGCTTCCGAATATCGGCAAGAGGCTTGGGTCGTTGTCTAATTGAACAAACTCATGAACAACGTTCTAAGTGTGGGCGTTTAAATAGAGCACACTTGCTAAGATAAATGTAAAGCGAATTTGAAATGCTTGGCTTCATTTGTGTCCCTTTCATAACATTTTTACATGAAAACATAACTACTTCGTTTCAAAAACTGCCACTTGGTTCCCTTTATTGTTGTGCAACTTACTTAGGCAAATAAATCACGATTAGTAATTACTTTTGCGCTGCCATCAAAAAAATGTCCCCGTTGCTTCGTCAGAATATGACAACGAGCAACCGCGCACACAAATGGGCTTTTATTTTCAGGCGTAGTATATTTCGAAACAACCTGGTGTGGATATTTTTCTCCTGCCGTGTTGTTCTGCTAGTAAACAACCATATAATAATGTGAGTGGGTTAATCTCATGCGCAAAATGATACCACGTAGCATAACAACTGATGGGTTCTAGTGGTGTTCAATGTAAATTCCTCCGTAGATAATGTTTTTCAACATAGCGTAAAAGAATGTGGACTGGACGTAAGACTTTGATTGCGTCCCTCAATGTTTTTTGAAGGAATCGTTTTATCAAAACTGAACCTGTACGAGTGACTCCAGATAATGAAAATTCCTTCAGTGCTCTTGCGAATAATGCGGGTCATCAAAGGAGTAATGAATCCTGTAGTACCGCACTATACATGGTTTCATCCAAAATTCGGAATCGCAAAATACTTAATAATGACTAATTAGTTGCATAAAGTGCGTTAAACAGCAATAACATGATCCAAAAGCAGTTTGTGAAACCAGAGTAGTTGTATTTTCACGTAAGGT